TTTTTTTTTTTTAGTAAAGCTATCTTTATTAAAAATACATTACAATCTTTAAATAATGTTATTAATTAAAACATAGCTTATATAAATAGAAAGATCAATATTTATTAAAATAATAACTCTTTAAATTTTTTATTATTAACTAAATTAATTCAGACAATAAAATTATATATACAACGCTGCAAAATACATAACAATAATTTAAAATAAAAAATAAAACCTATTAACTTTAAGCTCAGTGCTTATACTTTGAATTTTTTGGATAGCATCTATTTCTACACATAATATTTGCTTTTTTGCAAATACATCTTGCTATAAAATAGTTACCTCTACAATTGCATACTTTGTTACTAGCAAGAGCATTAGATTGCAATCTTGTGGCTTCAATTATACTAACAGTTATATTGATTAGAGGATTATTCAGCTCTGGAAATTCTTTTAGTTTAAGTAGTAAAACTACACTAGCTGGAAATGTTTTTTCAAAAATACTAAATCAATATACGAGACGATACATATTTATAGAAAGCACTACAAATACTTTGCAAGGGAGTGTACAATGATCACTAGGCCTATAATCAATTTTGGCAATTTGAATTTTTACTAAATCACAAATCTCATAAACATGTTTATGAGTGTTATATTTTGTGTGAATCTGGTGTTTCATCTTGGAAGGATAGTTTTCAAGATTTTTATTTGCAACTTGATAATAAATATTATGCTGAGAAGTTGAATTATTTGAAGCTTCTTGAAAAGCCTAGATATGATATTTTTTAGAAGAAACATAATCATTTGAATTAATAAAATTTTGATTTTCCTATTTATGATTAGAAATTTAAATTGTAATTAATAAAAATTTATAATATCTAAAAAAAAAAAAAAATCTTATAACAACTTTGTCTTTCGTAATTCTTTTTTGATTACTTGTAAAGTTATCTTGCACAAAAACTATTTGCTCTCAAGTATTATTAGTAGTGGATTGTATTTGCTGACCGTTAAAAGTAGTTTGTTGTTGTATTGTATAATCACCTTCTATGCCTATATATATTTGAGAGTTAACAATTTGAGAATCTTGTTAATTATAATTAAGATTAGTTATAAAAAAAAAAAAAAAAAAAAATTAAATAGATTGTTAATTCAATACTTTCCAATTTGTGTTCTCCTATAACAGATTTATCTCCTTGCAATATATCAGCAAACTGTACTGAAGATCAAGAATTCAATAAAGAAGTTATTAGCAAAGATTCATTTGCGTTATTTTCTTTTGTAGTGTTGTCCTCTTGTATGATATCAGAAAATAGTATTAAAGATCAAGAACTTGTTGAAGAAGCCATTATTAAAGATCTTTTGTATAGTGAAGCATTGCTTATTTCTATATTATTAACACAAATAACTTTATCTCTATATTCATTATATAGATTATTGTTTTTATTTTTAGAAACTTTCTCATTCTCGATGATACCTTCAGACAAATCTTTCTTCATATTAATTTTATTTCACTTTTATTCTTCAATTATATTAAAATCACATAAAGGATATTGCTCAAAAACTAATTCATATAGTGTATGATATATAGATCTAGAGTAACAAATATTCATAGAATCTAAAAAAAAAAAAAAAAAAAAAAAAAAACAAATAAAAAAATTAATAAAAAAATTAAAAAATCAAATTATCAATCAAAATTCTTATATGTAACTATCAGAAGGCTAATACTCTAGTCTTTTCAATCATTATCTTCCATCTATGCAAAGAGAACATTCTTTAAAGTTTTGTTAGAGTTTTCAACTATATCCTGCGATTGAGAATAGTGAAGATATCTATTAATTATATGAATTTCTTTTTATAAACTGAGAAGTTTATAAATAATTTGTGTAGTGAATTCTCACATATTATCACTCTGCAAAATATATAGAGGCCCAAAGACAGTAAAAACAGAAAATA